TTTTTCAAGTAACATATCTATCTTTTGTATAATTCACATTTGGGAACACGACTTTTAATAATGTTCTTCCCACAAATAATCATGCTTTCCCCCCTGTGGTTACAGCATTAAACTCTACTTTAAGTTGTATTTGAATTTTATTGTTTTGTTATTTAAGTTTATGTTATTTATAAAGAGAAAACCTTAAGAAGCTGTTTCTGTTTCATATGCTTTTAATTTCAAGGGAACAACAAAACTTCCTGGCTGTACTGCAGATTTCTCCTCCCCTGGTGACTGACACCAAGTCTAGCGCATAGCACTTGGCTAGCAAGTGTTGGATGGCGGACAAAAATGACAGCCTGCAGCCATGCTTACAATAGATGTCTCACAGCAAACGATACAAATATGTGGGAAAGATTTTGCCACAACACTTTTGCCAATGAATTCAGATCATATAAGTAAAAGAAAGCGAAGGATTTTAGTAAGAATATATTTTGATACATGGTAATAAATCGTGGTTTAGAAGTGGGTATATTTAAAGGTAGCAATCTGATAGTCTTTAGAAGTATCTGCCACACAAAAGATGCCAACATTCAAGGGGCAAGAACATAACTGCGGTAGAGGCTGTAGTCAGAGTATGAGGCCCCAGACACCCTGAGGCTTTAGGTTAGGCCACAAACAATAGGCCTAATAGACAGATGAAGACTCATTCCATAGCCCTGCCATGCTCAGAACTGTATGCATGCTCACCAAGGGAAGGCCAACAGCTACTTAAATTATTGGCATGTTACTTATTGTGATATCATTTTCAAAGTATTTTCATTGAAATTTCTTTAATTACATAAGGTACTATTTAGTAATATGCTTATAAGTAAAGGTTATATGACAAAGCACCTGTCAACAAAAATAATAGAATCACTTAACTTCATTGTAGTTTGCTCAAGTGTCCAGGCTACTGGAAGGTAGGAAGTGTTGCTCTCTGTCACATATATTATAGACACCTAGCATCCAACTCAAGGACATTTCTAGTCTGGCTTCCTAGCCCAGGCTCCTGTACCTAGAGTCTTGGAAACATATCAAGGGTAGAAGAAGACATGGCTGATTCATCAGTGCCTGGCTGATCAACTCATATAAACACGAATCCATTCAATGAACAGTTTCCAAGGGAAAGGTGGAATGCAACTATTCTTACTGAAGTTTTAAAAACTCAGAATGAAGCATGATCATGCAGGAGCTTAAACAGAAGTGGGTATGCATAGAAGGTGGCAAGATTTACCATTAAATTATTTACTATGAAAACACCATTAGAATATCAAATCAAACAGAACTAATACTGAGTAGTCAAACTATTCTTAGTGATATGTCATGTACAAAAATCTGCCCAGAAACATTTATTTAAAAATTTATTGTTATTTTAAAATTATGTATCTCTCTCTCTCTCTCTCTCTCTCTCTCTCTCTCTCTCTCTCTCTCTCTGTGTGTGTGTGTGTGTGTGTGTATCTTTATGGGTATGTACATATGAGTACAGGCCCTCATTAAGTTCAGAAGAGGGTGCTGGGAATTGACTCGGGTCCTTTGCAAGAGCATCTTCTTAACTGATGATCCATCTAGCCTGCCCGGACACTAATGTTTAATCATAGACTTTGCTATATTTTTTTTAAAAAACTTAACTTGTAAATTTCAGAAAATAAATCTGCTTTAGTCAAAAACATTTAGAATCTTGGATCTTGGCCTTCATCTTCCTTCCTCTTTCATAGATCAGGAAACAGATTCTAGTAACTCAAGGTGCTGGGTGGATGTAGCTTGCCACAGTCGAGGTCACTTAGCATGCCTCTTACTTTGATTTTCAATGATCTCATTGTTTTGTTAGATTTTAATTTCTATTGAGATGTCATATTTTCATTGAGAACACTTGTGATCCACTTGGCAATTCATTTAGTACATAATGATACTATTATGATTTGACTCAAAAGGAGAAAAAGAATGTGATTTCCAACTTTGATTCCTAGGCAACTTTTATGTGGACTTTAAATTTATAAATGGAAAGCATCATGCAAGGCATTTTTATAATAAGGTAGTTTTATAATAAAAATATTTTCTAAAATGTTTTTTTAAAGAGAAAATCATATCAGCACGTGGGTTTCTAAAAACTGGTAAAGGACTAAGTGAAAGAGTATGAATGTCAACACAATAAACAGAAAGATAATTTCAATTCAACAAGTGAACTAAAACACGTCAACAAAGACAAGCCATAATGTAGACTGCTGACCTTCGAGTTATTATAAGTTCAATTACATACAAAAGAGAATGGAAGATAGAGGGCCAACCACTTAGAGCTTTTTCTTTTAGTTTTTTAGGATGTCAAAAACCATGAGGAGTGATTATAGAGACACTGATTTGTGATCCCCTAAATATTCAGAATAGTATAGAGTGAGAACCTAAGAAATCATGTATAATAGCTCAAACAGAACATTCATTTAAAATCCAATTTCTTAGGATTCATGTGAGTTTTGTATTTCACTCTGGTATACACTTGTGCTTGCTTTAATATGAAAATGTCTCCAGTTGACACCAGAGAATAAAACCGGAGCTGTGAGTGACATCTGAGACTTACTGCAAGGGAGTGGATGAGACACAAATGATTTCCTATCTTTCATAGTCCAACTTTAAACACAAATAATACAGGGTTAAACAAAGCATACACTAAGGTTATTTTGTAAAAGTGTAACACTAAAGCATTTAACACCTAATGTGGATGACTATTGGTCAGGCAAAACACTCCATCGATTCTTAATGCTGCAAAGAGGCAGAGAGCCCACTGGCCAGCCACTATGGGCCATAGGTGAGCTATGGGCCCTGAGAGATACCCCGTCTCAAAAGATAAGGTAGAGAGTGCTAGAGGAAGACATTAAAACTCTGGCCTCTTTTTCTGTGTGTATGTGCCTGTGAGTGTATGTGTGGGATACACACATGTTCAGTACATAATCTATTAGAATGAACATGGGCCCATGTAACTATGAGATGATTATCATGTGTGGTCCTTTCTAAGATAACCTTAAAGCAGATGGCCAGGGCTCTTAGAATGTTCTTTCTATGATAACGCTTGTTAAAGCTTCACATATAACTCTTTCAGTGATATTATCAGGTTACTTTTTGCTCATTCTACCACATTCAACAAAGCTTTGGTCCTTATGACAGGAACATATTCTATCAGACTCTCAGAGGATCCCATATGCACTCCATTTTTGAAGAATTTTTTAAAAAGGTTAATTTTCTCTTGAATTGAGACTTGACAAAAAGTGGGAAATAACAAAATCCTACTATCTCACCAAGGTTTGTGATTTTGTGATTTCTTTTTAAAGCAATGTCTTCCAAGAAGCCAGGTGAGTATTCTCATGAGAAGGCATCCCTTGGCTTCCCATTCGCTTCCTGGCTGTGACACAGTTCCCCTTCCCAAAGCATCACATGCCTACTGAAAGCCTGTATCGTTATATGAACAGTGATTCTTCCTTTCTCTGGCTGGATACAGCTATGCATTAGTTATTGTGGTATATAACATGAAAATTAAATTACCTAAAGCAACAGTTCTTTCATCTTATAATTATCTAGGTGCCTCAGTCTGCAAGCCTTCATAAAGTTGTAATCAAGGTATTAATCAGGGCAACCACTATTCTCAACTCTTAGTCCTGAGGGAAATCAAGCACCACCCTCACTGGTTGCAGCTGCAAACATTAGCTCCCCACCATGGCCTCTTCATGTTTATAGGTTTTCATAAAAATCATCTGACATTTCCCAGCTTTTCCCTCCCCCCACCAGTTCTCTTCTATATCACTGTGTTGCTAGGCAACAGTGGTCACTACCATTTACATCACTTTCATTGTCTAGTAATGGTCATTGCTAAGCGCTGATGTGTTTTATAAATTATGCATTAGCCAGGCAGTGGTGGTGAATGCCTTTAATCCCAGCACTTGGGAGGTAGAGGCGCATAGATCTTTGTGAGTTCAAGGACAGCCTGGTCTACAGACAATTTTAGAACAGCCAGGGCTACACAGTGAAGTTTGTCTCAAATAATAATAATAAAAAAATAATGTATTGAATTTATCACTGAATTCACTACTAATTTGTTCAATGTTTATGGTATTTTCTTACAATGAAAAGAGAAAAGTATTGACTTCAGGGTAATGAAGGTGCAATGGGCTTTATCTGTACACTTTAAAAACAACAGTAGCAATTTTAATTTGAGGCAGGAGAAATGGCTCAGTGGTTAAAAGTGCTTGCTGCTCTCGAAGAGAACCTTTTCTGACTAAGCTGGTCAGAAATAAAGCCTGCATTCCAAAGCTATTCCTAGCACAGGAGTCTTGGTATAAACAGAAGAGAAATAAATTTACCTTAAAAAGTTCATCAATTGAGGTCGTTAGGAGTTTTGATTTTTGTATAGTAGTTTTGTACATAGAATTCAAGAAACAGGAGAAAAATACAAAGATATATCAAAGTAAATTGATATTTAAATTTTCCTTTATGTGAACCATTTAATAAATGAATAATTTTGAAAAGAAAAAGTGGGAAAACCAGATTCCTTATCTCAAAATAAATTCCAAGTGGATTAAGTAAGTTAGTCAATTATAGAAGCAAGAAAGCTCTAGGAGAAAACACATGTAAGCATTTTGATAATCTTAGGCAAGTCTTGACAAAATTCAACAAGACTTAAACTCTAAAAGAAATATGATTTACATGCACCAAATAAAAACATTAAACTTCTCTACTGGCAAGACACGCTGTCATCTGGTTAACCACACAGCCTAAAATGAGAAATGTCTGTAGTCCCAAAAACTGACATAGAAGTGTTGCACTAGGAGAACAGGAAAAGGCCTTAAGACACACCACTATGGCAGCAATCTATAGATCAAATGATATTCTAGGATTGTCACAAAATCAACTTGTTAGAAAAACAGGATGAGTAACTGACCTAATATACTTAACGTTGGCTACCTTTTCACACCTAATTTGTCAAGTTTGCTTACTGGCTGCTATGCGCTCCTGGCTGGAAATGAGCCTCTTTTTCACTGATTTCAACGGTGCTCGCCTGCTGCCATGTATGGTGGTTGTGCAGAGTTCTTTTAGTCTCCAGTGGGTCCAAAAGCCGGCCTGAGGCTTTAGACCTGTTAATATAATGTGTATATTTAGCCAATCACATCTTTTTAACAAAGTAGAAATTTCTACATCTCTTTAGATACAGATATCAGTTCATTTTTATTATTAGCTGCCACTGTATAAAATATACAGATGCTTTGCATTTCACTTGTTGAGTGCTATTGATAGGTTGATTATGCTTTAAAATATTAGGCATTAATAGAAAGTTTGTTGTATAATAAGGCCAAAGGGTAGCTGATTAAGGCAATGTTGTTTACTTTTCATTGCTCACAAGAGAAGAACGCCACACTACGAAGGACCACAGTAGGAAGACTCAGATTGGCTAGGACAGAGCAACACCGTGGGCATGGCAACTGCCCTGCTACATTTTTAAAGTATTCATTCCATCATTCTAGCAGACTCCAGGGCTCAAAGCTCACCCCAGTTGCTTTGCACCTGCTCCTAGTATGTCAAGCATCTGTAGTAAGAATTCAGCAAAGGAGAGGGTGGTTATGGCCAGGGCTCTACATTGGTTGAGCCAGAATACTTATACCTATAATTATTTGCCACCTCTAGAAACAGTACGAGTTAAAATATAAAATGTAAAAGATACGGTTCATGATTAATATAGTGTGGTGATAAATCTACAGTGCCGAGGAGAATTAGTGATGCCTTCTCCTTCTGGTTTTGGTGCTCCTGATTCAGACTCTTTCTGTGCTTACAGGGCTCTGTGGCCACCATTCTATTGTGCTGTTATAAAGAAACAATTCTGGTTTCTGCAAATGAGTGAGACAATATGATATCTGCTGTTCTCTGACTGGCTCATTTCAATCACCCATTGACTTCCAGTTCCATCCGGGCTGCTGAAAATGGCAAGATTTCATTTTTTTTTTAATAGCTGAGTAGTAGTTTCTTTTATATAAGTCCATGACATTTTCGTTATCCATTCATCATTGTTCTACTTCAGGTATTGTGAATCTGGGCCCATATTTCTTTTGCTTTTAAACTTTATTATTAATTTGTTTTTTACATTCCAATTCCAGTTGTCCCTCCCTTTTATCCTCATGCTTCCCCCACTCCTCCCACCTCCTTCCATCTGCTAGAGAGGGTAAGGCCTCCCCTAGGAAGTCTACTAAGTCTGTCCCATTATCTTTTTGAGTCAGGACCAAGGCATCTCTCCACCCCCGACACAGCCTGAGTCTATGCTGAGCAAGGTATCTCTCCATATAGAGTGAGGGTCAGTATTTCTTATATTTCTTATTTTCCACACACATAAAGACATTTTCGTTTGTTCATATGTCTAATTTATTGCTTTCTATCCAATGACTCAACATGTGTGCTTAATTTACAATGCTCCTTGTGAGGGGGAACATTTGATTTTTGGCTTACTTCATGGGGAGATTTTATGCATGCTTTCTATATTTGAAAGTAACTTGTATTTTTCATTTTCAGTGTTCTGGAAAGTCATTATTTAATATTCTTATTCACATTGTTTTATCTTTCCTCAGTTTGAGTTTTTTCTTGCTTCTTCTCTTAGTCACTAGAACTGATGATTTCTTCCTGAATTATTACAGCTGTGTGTGGTGATATGTTGTTTATGATCTAATAAAGCAACTGAATATCAAAATGCAAAGCTAGCCACAGCCATAGAGCCAGGCTGTAGTGGCACACACTTTTATTCCCAGCAGCCACACTAGCTAGCCATAGAGGCCAGGTAGTGGTAGTACACACCTTTAATCCCAGGACTCAGGAGACAGGTAGATGGATCAAGGTCACACTGAGATACATGAAATTGATTCAGTCTAAAAGAGAAACATCTCATACAAGGGTGATCTTAGCACTTGGGATCCACTCCTTTAACCCCAGGATTTAAGAAGTATAAAAGGAAGAAGCAAAGGATTTAATGTGAGAATTAGTCTCCAGCCAGGTTGAGAAGAATATAGCAGTCTAGGAAATGCAGTCTGAAGCTTGGTGAAGAGCAGTGCTGCCAGCATTGTACTCTGAAGATTCATGGTGACAGGATCATCCATTTTGGTCTGAGGTAGAGCTAAGAGCTAGTGGCTGAATGCTTTGCTTTTCTGATCTTTCAGCTTGAACCCCAATATCTGTCTCTGGGATTTTATTATTTGAGTTACATCTGTGATAACAACTCGAAAGTTTCTTTGGGTTCATGTAAATTATTTGATAATGCATTTTGTTCAAATATTCCATCTATTTTATTTATTTTGATTTTGAACTTGGATCTTGTATATATGACAGTCAAGTGCTGGGATTGTAGGCATATGCTATACCTGGATTGCCAATTTTTCAATAGGAGGTTGTTTGTTTTCTTTTGTTAGTTTTTCCCCCTAAATTTTAATACTTCATTCAGGTTATTGATTGCTTTTTAAAATTCTATTTAATGTACTTTCTGAGTAGGTTAAAGTTTACTTTTGATGAAATCCAGTTTACCAAAATTTTCTTTTATGAATTATGTTTTTTGTTTCACATCTAAGAAACTATGCCCCAATCTAAGGTACATTTTCTGTCTATGCTTTTGTTGCTAAGATTCCTTTCCTGGGTGATACACACACCATGTCTAAGGCATTCTAAAGGTCCTATCAACAAACCAAATTATGATTCTCCCAAAATTCACTCAGGGGACCAAAGGTTGTAGCAGTTTCACTTACAGAGCAATAGGTGAGGGGTTATGGGCAGAAATGTGGGTGACCTTAAAGCAGCCACACTGAAGTTTTGTACCCAACAACAATGGCTTCTCCATGGCTGCATAGATGGATCCCTCCTCCCCTCATCATTTCCTATCTATATCTTCTAGCTACTCCCCCAAGTTCCAAGGGCCACATGCAATTAGGCAGAATTACAATACGAAAGATTGGGAGGAGTGGCTGGGTACTCAGGTTAAGTGTTCCATGAGCCTAGCCATCCCCTTCTTTTGGGCAGAAGAATACACAGTTACCAGACCCAGCTGTGATGAGCTGTGAGCAGGACCAGGAGAACTCCTGAATATGGTGGTAATTTAGGTCCATCTGATCTAGGGTATAGCACAAGGCTAGCATTCCCTTGTTAATCATTTGTCTGGCTGTGATATCCAGCATTGTAAGTGTGGTATTGACACCATCTACTCATCTCTTTTCACATCAATTAATATTTGCTTTGTGTATTTAGATGTTCTGAGTTTGGTTATTGTATTTTGCTGAGAACCCAACCCCTTATTAATAATGACATTTTTGTCTTCTGCTTTCTCCGATGAAAGTGTGTCTAACCCTGCTCTCTTTTGCTTGCCATTCACACAGAGCATCCTCATTCCCTCTGCTTGCAGCAGTCTGTCCATAAAAGCTAAAGTGGTTACCTCATATGTACCATAGGCTAGAGCCTTATTATTCTTTCTTTTTCTTCCTTCCTTTCTTTTGAAATCTACTATATGTATTTTGATTGGAGAATGCAATCAATTTATATTCAAAGTGATCACTGATAGGATAGGCCTTACTATCACCATTTGTCTCTACATCATCGGTTCTATTCGTATGATATGAGGCAAGAAGAGGAATGTTGCAGTTTGCACTGGGACAAAAGGAAAATTGCCCTGACTGACAGGCAAGACTCCATCCATTTGGGGCTTTAGCTTGTAAAAATGAAGTCATTTGAGAGAGCCTGAACTGAGAATGCCACCACAGTTATTTTCTGCTCAAAAATAACCAACTAGGAATGAGTTTTTCCAGCCACAAAAGCAAAGCGCACAATAGTTATGGCAGAAGGGAGCCAGAAGGGAGCCAGTCTACACCCTGACTGTCAGTAGCACTTGGAGTGAGTATCCACATGATTATATAGGATGCAAGATACAAGAGTGAGGGGTGATGACAACTTGTGCCAAGTCACAGAAAACTAATGCGTGGCAGGGTTGGATCCCCTTCAAGGAGAGCCCAAGAGACAATCACATGAAATTGTGAAGGTGAAGTCTAAGCTGTGGCAGAGATACTAGGATGTTAGAAATGTTAGCTGTTTGCTTAGGAAAGTTGCAAACGTGGAGTGGAACCAACCCAAGAGAGGGGTCCGTGCATCACAGATAATGTAGTTTGAGGAGTGGGGGTATCCAAGGTCACTGGATGATGCCAGACATAGAAGGGCAGAACTTTCTATTTTCCCTGACTACCTTTAGTATTGCTTTGCCATGATCATTCCTCACTATGCCATCAGTCTTCCTTTGTGGTCTGGGACTCTTGTGCTATTGTATGCTGGACATATTTAACTTGTTTTATTTCATACGGGCTTATAGCCTTAGGAGAGAATCTGAGCCGTGGACTTTGAGGAATTCTTAAGTATGGCCAGGGCAACCTTTGTGGTTGAACTGAATGGATTATTGCATTAGGAGATATTCATGATCCTACAGAGGAATAGGGGAAGAATTTTATGGCATGAACATACAATATCTTCTCAGGCTGATGTCTTTGAACACTTGGTCCCCAGCTGGTGGTGCTACCTTAGCAGGCCACAGACCTTTGAGAGATGAGGCCTGGCTGGTGGAAGTAAGTGACTGGAATTGAACTTACAGGTCACAGCCTCCACTTGGTTCTGGCCTGAATCTGCCCCAGCCTTCTGTCTTCTCACTATGATGATTATGGCGACTAGCTCCATGCTTCTTCACCAAGGCCAGAGCCTCAGCCACCATGTCTTCTTCCCCGTGAAGCCGTGTGCTAAAACAAAACCCCATTTCCCTAAATTATTCATTGTTGAGTATTTGGTCCTTGTGATGAGCACACTGCTTTCATTTCTAAAGGTGGGCTCTTTGAAGCATTTATTATAAGCGTAGTCTAACATGACAAAGTCCCTCAGTATCGCTTATCTCCTTCATTATCTGGGGACTGCTTTGCTAGGTAAAGTCTTCTTGGCTGACTTTTTTTTTCATCACTTGAAACTTATCACCCCTTTCTTAGTGTACAAGACTTATTTTGAGAAGTCCCTCTAGTCTGGTGGGATTTCTTTGTATTTGATTCAGTGTTTGTCTCTTGATGATGCTCCACTGGGTTGGACCATTGGTTAGTGGACCTTTGAGATTCATGGATACAGAAGTGCATCGCCAGACTTGGGATGTTTCCAGTAATCATTTCATTGAAGATTTTCTTTTCCCGTGTCTGTCTTCTCAACCTGGAACTGTGATAATGTAGATAATGTAGAATTTGTTCAGTAAATGTATCCTATGAATATCATAGGCTTTCTTGTACGTTTTTCCTCTGTGTTATTTACAAGGGCCTGTCTTCAAGCAAGTCACAGAGTCACAGTTTCTTTCTTTCTTTCTTTTTCTTTTTTCTTTTTCGCTTTATTGATCTACCAGTGCAGTTCTCTAATTTAATTTTTTTGGCTCTAAGGTTTCAGTTTGGGTCTTTAAAAAGTCATGTCTATGTTGACTTATGAATAGATCATAAGTCATCCCTTCATCCCTCTGCTCTCACTCAACCCTTCTCCCTTACTTTTTTTTTTTTTATCTCACTGGATTTCTGTAAGAATCATCTTTACTTTGTTTTCTGGAAACATATAATTTCAGTTTTAGGCTTCAGTTACTAGAGAACCTTTCATTTCCTTTGTCATGTTTCCTTTCTGTTATACACATCTGTCCACTGATGCCTCTTCATTTGGTAGAGCAGGAATGTTGCTACTCAGTGAGGATGTGCACTGCTCTAGTTCAGACTTTGTGGGTACTACTCGTGCTCCAAAGAGGTGGTCAACAGTGACTGTTTTCCCTGGAGAGTGGGTGGCACAGATTATAGGTCATGCATGGTACTGGATGACCTTGGGCTCAGAAGTTGTGACTTCTCTTCTTAGCCAACATTCTTGCGAGGTGGTTAACACTTTACATGGGCACCAGGAGGCACTACTGCATTGGTGGCTAATTCTCTGGGTCCCTAAAAGACTAAATATGGTCTCATGTCATCTCAGGTTCTCAGAGGCTGTAGGCACAAGTGACTGTGGAGGGAGTTTGGAATAGCTCTGTAGTAGTCCCAGGATTAGGCTCTAGCAGGACTTACTGCAACAGAGATGAGATCTGCAGTGCACATGTGTGGATTATGCACCTAAGATTGAGTTTAAGTGCGCTTTCATTGTGACACCATCTCTGGAGTTTGCCCCAGAATCTGGGCTCCAGAGTACAGAAACATGCATGTTCCTTGCTTCTCTGAAGTTTGGACTGCAGATGCATTTGCTATTAACAGTGGTTTTCATACCCACAGCATCAGCTAGCTCATGCATATATAAAGTAACATTGGCTCTAAGGCTCAGTGCGAAGGCTAATTCTCCCATCCAAGTAGTAAGTACTAACCAGGCCCAACCCTGCTTAGCTTCTGAGATCAGTTGAGATCTGGCGCATTCTGCAGGTTCTAATAGAACTCCTAAGCCTTCCCTCAGGGTACTTTTGTTCATGACTAGATAATTGAGCTATTTTATGTTGTTAGATGACAACAGTATTTCCTTCCTACAGTCTTGCTCACATCATTCATTTTTCCATCTTCTAATGAGAGCACTCATCTTATTGGTTTAGGGTCACCTACATGACCAAACATGTTACATCATAGTTTCTTCTTTAAAAGACCTATTTTCAGGGCTAGAAATTTAACATTCAAATTTGAATACAGCCACAATTTTGACAATAATGGATATGTGGGGAAAACTTACACTCTTCATAGCAGCTTAAAGTATTTATCTATATGCAGACTATCTATGCAGTCTATAAATAAACACACACTTACATGCACTCATGCCCACACAATCACGCAAACACACTAATGTCAGTTTTGAAGAAATTCTGTTTCTATAATAATTCTAACACTTAAAAATGATTTGGCTTTCCAGGCATGGTGGTGCACACCTTTGATCCCAGAACTCAGTATGTAGGATCTCTGTGAGTTCTAGGCCAGCCTGGTCTATATAATGAGTTCTTAGATTTCCAGGGCTATGTAGAGAGACCCTATCTCAAACAAAACAAAACAAAAAAAAATGATTTGGCTTTATTATAATATTAATGAAATTTTTTTGATAATTAAAATTTCAGAGTAAAGTGATGATAATTTTAAGACATACATTGGTACGGCATGTTTTATAAGTCATCAATGTTTTAACTGGAGCAAAAACTTCAATCTAAAAATATTAGAACAAATTATTAATACTTAAATGACATATTCATACCTGACAACCACAGAAAAATAGTATTTCCTAGATCTTCTTTAAACTCATTATTGAAGAGGTTACTAGATTCTGGAAATGATTCCTGGAATGCTGCATAGATAGCTTGTGCCAAAAAATCTGGATACACCTGCCCAAATGGAGCCATGTTAGGTAACATTTATACTTTATGTATAATAAATAATAGTAATAGCAAAGAAATGATTAGGACGTGTGTCTCCCCTTTAATAACTTTCTTTTAGTTATTTTATTGCTTTTTGGTAACCTCTAATTGAGGAACACAAGCAAAACAAACAAATAAACAAAAAACAAAACAAAACAAACAAACAAACAAAAAACAGCTACAAAATGATTCTACCTGGTAGCACTTTGCAAACATTCCTGAATAAAGGGTAAGATTAACAAGACAGCATCTGACTAGCTATTTCTTTTGTTAAATGTAAATTTAAACATTTCTTTTAGAATTTCACCAGATGCCTGCTTCTTCTGTTCCAACTCCTCCTGTGCCCCCACTTCCTCTCAAACATATATATTACCTACTGAATCAGTTTAATGCTGCTCATATATACATGTGTTCAGTACTAAGCACTTAGGATTAGATAACCTATCAGGGGGCTCATCCTTGAGGAAAACTGGTTCTCCATTTCTCAGCAGACATTGATTGCTTGCAGCTGTTTAGCTAGGGTAAAACCTTGTAAAACTTTCCCTGTCCACACTGGTATGTCTGTATTCTTAATATTCAGGTCATGTTTAGGAAACCATGTCATTTCCCATACCCTGTCACATCAGAGGACACTGCCTCACAGCAGGTGTCCTGGTCCTCTGGCTTTTACAATCTTTCTCTGAACTTTAGGTGTAGGGGTTACATTGCAGATGATAGGGATAGACACCACTTGGTCACATAGAGCAAAGGATCACCAGCCCATAATTCACACTGCCAGAGAAACTAGGATACAAGGAGGAACCTAAGAGATTCATTCATACAAGGTCCCTCACAGAAAGGGAAATGAACAAGATCTCCTGAGCATATTAGGAGTGGGGGGGCGGGTAGTGAGTGGAGAGGGAGTTAGGAGAAAGAAGGGGAGGAGAACATGTGGGACCAGGGAGATTGAGTCTAGGAGAGCGAGAGAGAATGAGTGAGAGAAAGAGAGAGAGAGAGGTCAGATGTAATGATGTCATAATAGAAGGAGCCATTATAGGTAGGTTTGAAGAGAAAACTAACTCTAGAAAAATGTTCAGACTCAACAAGGATGACCCCAACTAACAATCTGAGCAATAGGAGAGGTTACCTTGAATGCCCTTCCCTGATAATGAGATTGATAACTAACTTATATGCCATCCTAGAGCCTTCATCTAGTAGCTGATGGAAACAGAAGCAGACACCCACAGCTAAACACTGAGCTGAACTCCTGGAACCCAGTTGCAGAGAGCGAGGAGTGATAAGGAAAGGGGTCAAGACCAGATTACAGAAATCTACAGAGACAGCAGACCTGAACGAGGGGGAGCTAATGGACCCCCAGACTGATAGCTGGGAAACCAGCTTTGGACCAACTCAGACCCCTTGAACATGGGTCTCAGTTAGAAGGCCTGGGCAGTCTAAGGGACCTCTGACAGTGGGACCAGGTTGTATCCCTAGTGCATGAAAGGACTTTGGGAGCACATTCCCCATGGAGGGATACTCCCTTAACCTAGAGGCAGGAGGGAGGGCCTAGTCCCTACTCCAAATGACTTGACAGATTTTGATGATCCCTCCTGGAAAGTATTACCCTCCCTGTGTGTGAGGGAATGGTATGGAAGGAGGAGTTGGGGGGACATGGGAGGGAGAGAGGGAAATGGAACTGGGAATGTGTGTGTGTGTGTGTGTGTGTGTGTGTGTGTGTGTATTTTTAAGTTGATTTGATCTTGCCTAGCATGGAGAATCATTAGCTACTGTGCCTTTTTTCTGCAGCTGTGGCCCTAAGTTGGTCCATCTGAAGAGACTATCACTGCTTTTATATCTTGTCAACTAACCCTGCTCCCTACAAATCCTATTTCAGATGGCCCTTTGGTCAACACCTCTCAAATCATGCACTTACTTGATAGCCTAGCCTTCAGATACTCCAGCTATTACAATTTTTTCTTGAGGGGTAAACATTGAGAGAGACCATTTTTTTTATATTAAAGACACATGGTATCACTATTGTGGTACTCTGAATTCAGATAATTATTGATAACATAAACTAAGACCCTATTTGATTAAAGTTTTAGCATTAGAGAAGTCTGTAGTGGTCACTGTAGTGCACCAACTAATGAACCAAAGAATGCACATGTTCAAACCCCTGGTACCCATAAATGTCAGTTGGGATGAAGGAAGCTGAAGTCATGGGACAGATTAAAGTACTAAGATTATCTGTGGTCCTAACTGTAATTACACATATTATGAGGGAAGCTGAGCAGACTGACTCAAGAAAAGGAGAAGGCAATGTGACAGTAGAAGGGAGTGAGCAGTGACAGAACCAGACATCAAAGAAAGTTGTCAGGTGCTGGTGTCAGAAACAACAGAAACACAAGATGAGCTCTCCCTGAGGTGTCTGAAGAAAACAGCATTTCTGGGTGTTGGGGTGCAGGTCTTTGATCCATTCACTCAGGAGGCAGAGGCCGGCAGATCTCTGTGAGTTCAAGGCCAGCCTGGTCTACAAGAGCTAGTTCTGCAGTTCCAGGACAGGCTCCAAAACGATGATATCTTAGACTCATATTCTATTCATCCTGGATTGTTGGTCTCTATAACAAGAAAATGAATGTCTATTGCTTTTAACAACAAAGGTTATTATAATTTGTAATAACTCATAGGAAACTAATATGATTATTTTAATCAAACAGTGCTCAAATTTAAATTTTCTGGTACATAGTCCTTTTAGAGCATCCTTGACTGGGGTGGGGGTGCGTGGTAGGAAGGTGGATGTGTGAGCAAAATAATTCTGTGACATATTGGTGGTGCATCTAAGCTTATTTATTACCTTATTTATTAATTAATATAACAGAAAAAGAAAATAAATATTTAATTATAGTGTATTCAGTAAGAATATAAACTATTCAGTTTTGCCTTAAAAGATTTATTATAGAGCAGAAGAAAAACAATATTTTTATAGGTAAATAGAACAAAACCAAGGATATACATAGAAGTCAACATTTTCCAACCAACATGACTATAGAACTACAGTGATTCTCAGACTATGAGTCCAAAGAGCACAATAGTGTGGGTAGTGGTCATCGTGGTAAAACATAACTTGAAAAATATTTCCATTATTTACATCAGACAATTTTGGTTATCAAAATACACTCATATATATTTAAACAAAAATATTTTCATATACTATGGAGATTATTATAACTGTTAAGGTTTTACATGTACCTGAAAGAATGCATCCTTTTTCTTATGAGGTATTCTCATGAAAAGAGTTACATAACTTTCTGAGATTCTGTCAAACAAGCAATCTTGATCTCTTTTGTCAGGCTTAAACGAGATACATGTATGTAATTAAAGTCAACATTACAATTTATACTAGGAAGTTCTGTGTACAATATTACTACATGTAATACAGTATACATACACATGCATACATACATGCATACATGTATTATATAAGAACATAGTTTATTCTTAAAGGATAGTTTGGCCAGTATAATGGAATGGTCAGTTGCTTTGGTATCACAGTGAATGGCAGCTGTCATTTATTAGTTGCACTCATATTTATTATAAGAAATATTAGTATCAATGTTTTGTTTTTGTAATGTTTTTACCTTTGGTGTAATAGTAACTTTTCAAGCTAGACTTTGGTCTTTCCTCTTGAATATTTTTAGGTGAGGTGTAATATTGGTACACATTCACTTTGAAATATTGGTGAAATTTATCAGTGAAACTGGTTATCTGAGACCGGGCTTTTTGTTGTTGGGAAGTTTCAATTACTGATTCAACCTCTTTATTGTAATCTATCCTAATTGTCTTTTTCTTTGTGAATCAGTCTTGTTAGTTTCATGGCTTTAGCAATTTTTTTATGTGCTGTTCAGGTCATCCAATCTGTTGATGAAGGTGAATCTTCATTGTTAGCTTGATATGATTTAGAACCACATATGAGATTAGCCAAGCACACCTCCAACTTTGTCTGTGCAATGTTTCTAGAGTGGATTAACTGAGAGAAAAGATCCATTCTAAATGTGGAAAGCACTACCCTATGTGCTGGTGTCCAGATGGGACAAAGGGGGCAAGGGCAGAAGCATCTGAGCTTAGCATCCTTCTTGATCTGTCATGCCTTCCTTGCTATGATGGACTTAATCTTCTGAAAAAAATAAAAATAAACTCTTTTGTTTCAAGGTATGCATGTCAGATAGTTTGGTTACAGTGACAATTATCTATTTCTGCAAAAATGGTGGTGGTATACCTCTTTTTATTTCTGGTTTTCATATATTTTTAATTCTTATTTTTTCCTCTGTGGGTTTCCCCAACATGGTTTTGACCCCTTTGCTCACCACTCTATCCTCTCTACAACTGGATTCCAGGAGTTTTTCCCAGTGCTTAGCTGTGGATCTCTGCTTCTGCTTCCATCAGTTACCGGATGAAGGCTCTATGATGGCAGTTAAGAGAGTCATCCGACCTGAGCAAGTGGGCGCTCATTGACTTCAGACTGACAGCTAGGGTACCAGCATAAGACCGAACTAGGTCCCCTGAATGTGGGTGTCAGTTGGGAGGCCTGGGCAATCTATGGGGCTGCTGGCAGTAGAACCAGTATTTATCCCTAGTGCATGAACAGGCTTTATGGAGCCCTTTCCCTATGGAAGGATACTTTGCTCAGACTAGATAAAGCAGGGAGGGCCTCGATCCTGCCCCAAATGATGTGACAGACTTTGATGATCCCCATGGGAGGCCTTATCCTCTCTGAGGAGTGAATGGGGGGTAGGATTGGAAGATTTTGGGGAAAGTGGAAGGATGGGAGGAAGAGGCAACTGTTATGAAAAGAAAGACTATTTTAAAAAGAAAAAAAGAACAGTTCTTCAAACAAGATAACATGAGGAATTTGAAGCCTTTGTTGTTCTAAGAGTAAATATGGCAGAGACAGCACCTAAAGGCAGTTCATCACCTTAATGGATTCATTCCCCTAGTGGCAAGGTTAGCTGGGCATGGACAGTGTAGCCTGTGGCATGTGAGTAGGGGCCTGTGCACAGTGCCCTGAGGTGAACTTTGGAGCTGGAAGTGGTGGCGCTACCAGTGAAAGGTTTGCACTGCCTCAGACTGCAGTGGTTTGGGGCCGGGTCACAGTGTAGGTCACCTTCTAATTTTTTGCAACATTTTGCGAGCCAAGCTTTTAGGCAACTTTAGGGTATTTATTCTTACTGAAATTCTTCTGGTCAAACAGTGCCTCCACACAACCTATTTCACTTTCTTATTATTTTTTTCCTGGGTTCAGATTCTCACCTTTCTGAACCAATTAGAGGCTCTCTGTCTGTCTGACCACCAGGTGCTTTTCTAAATCTTCAGTGTTTACTGATTCGTAGTAGACTTTCTGCTCAGTTTACCAGCATATAATAACATGCAAAGATGCAACTTTATTATTCTCTACAGTATTGGCTCTCCCTTATCTTTTCTGATGGATGAAAAATCTAGTTTATTGGAATCCTTATTGGAATTTAACTCTTCTAAGAGAAGACAGTTTAAGTAAGATTTTTAGTGTGGAATGCTCAAAAATTCATCTATGTAAAATCTTTTATATTAATGTTACTTCTACTGAAATAAAGATAATTATGCTACAAATCAATGTTTTTCCGTATTTTTAAAATGTCACTTACCTTGAATTTATGGAGAAACCACCACCAAAAACAGTCATGCAAAAGAGCAATGGAAGAGTCTGAGAGAATATGGGTTCTCCAGACTTTAAATAACTTTTCCTATGGATAACAAATTAAAATACATTACTAAGATTATTCATGTAAACATGTTTTATATGGAGTATAATCAATGGTAATAAAACTTCCTGACAGATATTTAGCAATGCACATGAGTGATACTAACTGTCCAAGTAGTTACAGTGAAAACCAAGAGTGAAATTGAGCTTGATGACATATCTTACTTAACCAAATATACTTAGAATATTATATTGTCCTATCAACACATAATGGGTCTCAGTTAGAAGGCCTGGGTAGTCTAAGAGACCTCTGACAGTGGAACCAGAATGTATGAAAGGACTTTGGGAGCACATTCCCCAAGGGATACTCCCTTAGCCTAGTACCTACTCCAAATGACTTGACAGATTTTGATGATCCCTCCTGGAAGGTATCACCCTCCCTGTGGGGTTGGTGGGGAATGGGATGGGAGGGGAGATCGGGAAGTATGGGAGGGAGAGGAAACTGGGATCGATATGTAAAATAAGAAAAATAAATATAAACAACATTACTAAAGCTTAAATCACACATTGAACCTCACACATCAAGAGTGGGAGACATCAATACCTGCTGTCATCAATGGACAGGTTGTCCAGACAGAACCTAACAAAGAAATAATGGAACCAACAAATGTTATGACTCAAATAGACTTAGCAGACATTTGCAGAACATTTCATACAAACATAAAAGAATATACCTTCTTCTCAGCACCTCATGGAATCTTCTCCAAAACTAACCATATTATCAGTCACAAAACAAATCTCAACAGATACAAGAAAATTGAAAACAAAACAAAACAACAACAACAACAAAACAACCCTGCATCCTACCAGGCTACCATGGATTAAAACTGTATTTCAACAGCAACAGAAACAACAACAACAACAAAAAACTCTACAACTAATGGAAACTGGAAAACTCTACTGAATGACCACTTCGTCAAGGAAGAAATAAGAGAGAAATTAAAGACATCCTATAATTCAGTGAAAATGAATGCACTGCATACCCAAACTTATTGGACACAGTGAAATAGTGCTAAGAGGAAAGTTCATAGCAGTAAGTGTCTACATTAGAGAAACTAGAGAGATATCATACTAGTGACTTAACCGCACACTGAAAGTTCTAGAACAACAAAAAAGCAGACACACCTAAGAGGGGCAGGCTGCAAGAAATAAACTCCAGGCTGAAATCAATAAAATAGAAACAAAGAGAACAATACAAAGAATCAATAAAGAGTGGGTACTTTGAGAAAATCAACAAGATCGACAAACTCTTAGCCAAACTAGCTAAAAGGCAGAGAGTGACTGTCCAAATTAACAAAATCAGAAATGAAAAGGTGGTTATAACAATAGATAGCAAGGAAATAAAGCAAATCATTAGGTAATACTTCAAAAACTTGTACTCTACAAAATTGGAAAATCTAAAAGAAATAGACAATTTTCTAGACAGATAGATACCACTTACCAAATTTAAATCAAGATGAGATAAATAATTTAGATAAACCTATAACCCAAAAGGAAGTGGAAATAGTTATTAAAAGTTCATTGTAGCTATACTCATAAAAGACAGAAACTGGAAACAACCTATATGTCCCAGAGCTGAAGAATGGATAAAGAAAATGTGGTACATTTTCACAATGGAATATTACTCAGCTGTTAAAACAATGATACCATGAAGTTTGCAGGGAAATGAATAGAACTTTTTTTTTTAGAGAAGATCATCCTGAGTGACATAACTCAGACCCAGAAAAATAAACATGGTATATACTCACTCATAAGTGAATATTAACCATAAAGTAAAGGATAACTGTGGTACTACCATCAACAGACCCAGACAAGCTAAATAACAAGGAGGGCTCAAGGTGGAGAGGATACATGAATATCACTGTGAAGGGGAAATAGAATAGACACTTTCATTGAATTGGGGGAGGGATCTAGATGGGGGATGGTGATAGGAAAAGGAGGGATCAGGTTGGGGGAGGATCGAAGGGGAGGGTACTGGGAAAGCCAACTGGAATCTAGGGGCATCTCTGGAAAGAGCTAGAAACCTAGTACGATGGAAAATCCCAGCAATCTATGAGGGTAACCATGGATAAGACTCCTAGCAATGGGGGACATGGGGCCTGAACTGCTTCTGTAACTGGGCAAGAGGGATTGCCCAGTTACAGTGGAGGGATTGGGTCATCAACACAGCCATAAAACCTTCGACCTACAATTTGTCCCATCTACAAAATGTGCTGGGGTAAAGGTGGCACAGAAATTGTGGGAGTGGTCAACTAATGACTGGTCCAGCTTTAGACCCACCATGAGAGGGAGCCCATCCCTGAGGGCCAGGACCGAGAGGCAGGATAGCCCAGCAGCCTAGGATAGATCCAAACATGACTAGCAAAAAAGTCACTGAAATGTTTCCTAAGAATATTCTGCTGTATTCATATAGCTCAATTGTCATCAGAGAGGCTTCACCCAGAATCTGATGGAAAAACAGATGCAGAAACCCACAGCCAAACTTTAGGTGTAGCTTGGGGTATTATCATCTTGAAGAGGGGGAGGAAGGATAGGAGGAGTCAGTCAGGTCAAGGACGCCACAATGAAATCCACATAATAAACCAACCTGGGATTAGAGGGGCTCACAGAGACTGAACTGACAACTAGGGACCCTGCATGGGATTGACATAAATGCTCCACATACATGCTATAGTTGTGTAGCTTGGTCTTCTGGGACTCCTAACAGTGGGAATAGTAGCTGTCTCTGATTCTGTTGCCTGTTTTAGGGAGCCTTTCCTGCTACTGTATTGCCTTATCCAGCCTTAATAGGAGAGGATGTACCTAGTCTCACTACCTTGATATACCATGGCTGGCTGATATTCATGGGAGGTCTGCTGTTTTTGAAGGGAAATAGAGGAGGAGGAGGAGTGGATCAGGCAAAGGTAGGGGGTGGGGCTGGGAGGACAGGAAAAATGTCTACACGTGGCTAGTACTAATGCAAGGATGATGTAAACTAGACTAAGCACATCAAAAATATAGGAAACAGGCTATATTTCTTACTTTTCAAAAGATAGTCACAGTTTTAACTCAGTAAATCCTCTCATGAATTTATCTAAATATAGTGTATCCCTTGTGCAGAAAATTCACCAAAATTGGTAACCAAAATTAAATTTACTTACCACAAACACTAGAAACTATTCATTTTTACTTAGTTAAATAGATTCAATAGATCATATTATGCATGTTTTTGAAAATTAATTTCTTAGCTGATACACAAAATAATAGCTTCATTATGACATTTCCATATATATGTATATATATATATATATATATATATATATATATCTTGCACATATTCACCCATACACTCAGCATCACCCTCCTTCATATGCTCCCATATCACTGTTCCCTTTTCTTTCCTCAAATATGTCTACATTCTGCATATGCAAGAAAACAAATATTATTTTATCTGTATCTCCCTCAATAACCTCCCTTGTTTCCCTCTTCCCTTCCCTTTAGAATGCCTACCTGACTCATCACCTTTCTACACACACACACACACACACACACACACACACGCACATGCATGTACACACACATGAGAAACAAATATGGATTAAAAACCTAACTTTTTCCTGAATTTGGTTTTATTTGCTTAACATGATGACTTCAAGTTCCATCCATTTTTGTGCAAATAACATTTTTCTTTATTACTGAATAAAATCCCATGAGGGGTGTGTTATGTGTATTATATGTACATCTACCCCAGTTTATTTATTCATTCATCTGTTAATAGGCATCTAGGCTGGTTCTATATCTGAGATATTTTAGATAGTACAGTAGTAAACATGCATGGCAAATATGGTGGTGGTATGATTCCATTCCTTTGGGAATATACTCAGTGGTGTAGCTAGATTTTATAAAGATTTTTCTTTTATATTTGTGAAGAATATCCATACTGATTTCCACATTGTCTATACTAGCCTAACTCTTACCAAGGTCATGTAAGAGTTCTTACTTCCCATATCCTTGACTGTACCTACTGGTGTTCTTTGCTTTATTTGATAACAATTCTGACTGAAAGGCAATGGAATCTCAAAGTAATTTTAATTTGTATTTCCCTGGCAATTAGGGATACTGTACATTTTCTCAAATGTGTGTTGACCATGTATTTTTCTTCTTTTGAGACAAGTATAATTGATTCATTTGTTTGTTTATTGATTGGATGTCTTGAAGATTTTATGTTTAACTTTTGGAGCTAACTATAGATTTTAGATATTAATTCTTTCAGATGTTTATTTGGCAAATAGTTTTGACAATCTTTGCTATGCAGAAGCTTTTTAATGTCATCCAAATCCACTGACTAATTCAATATAATTCAACATTTCCTTTGATGGAATACATACTGTTTTTTGCTCATCAAATATAAGTCAACAACAAGGAAATTGTGCAAACTTTTTAACAAGAAAATTATTTATGATTTCTATTGGAGTACTTCTTTTCCACAAAGCACTAACCATACTTCACTGGTAACATCTTCAACTTATACTTATCACCTTTTCAATACAAAGAACATGTATATTATATATATATATAACATGAAAAACAGAAGTTGAAACTAAAAAAGAACAATGACCAGATTTACCAATAACTACCCAAACTTCATCCCATCACTGATGACCAATGGCCACTGAACTAGTCACATTCCTTCAAGTCTTTATCTTTGGTTGTACTATAGGATGTAACACAAAAATGTGCCAGGGCATTATCAGGCTTTAAAAAGAACACACAAACCACAAGTGGAAGAGTTCTCACAAGTTACTTTAGAGTAAAAACAGCATGCTAAAGTACTTGAGTTAATAAGAGTGGAGACACAGAAGGAAAAACATCTTTCATAGTCACATTCCCAGCCAATGGATGCTTGCATCAAGATGATAGAGATGCTAACACACCAACTGTGATGGTTTGAATGAGAATGGCCTTCATAGGCTCTTATGTTTGAATATATGGTCCCTATTTGTTGGAACTGTTGGAGAAGGATTAAGAGGTATGGCCTTATTGGAGGAATGTGGGTTTTGATTTTTAAAAGTTTGGTGCCATGTCCAGTTAGCTCTCTCTGCTTTTTATTTTGGGATCAAAATGTGAGCTTTCAGCTTTTCCTGCTGCCATGACCTTTGCTCTGTCATCATGGACTCTAACCCTTTGAAACCATAAACCCAATTAAACACTTCCTTTTATAAGTTTCCTTGGTCACAGTATCCTTTTTTTTCAGAGCAATAGGAAAGACACTAACACATCTTCTTTTGGTAAACAGGGATAAACATTATATTAGTGTTTCCTTCTAAATTTAACATTTGAAGAATCAAGTTGGCTTAATATTTAACTTCTCATTGTTTTAAATAAAGGCCTGATTCATTAAATCATATTATCAAAGTTTCACTACAGAATAAAAATAAAATAAAATTTATATACCTCAAAGTTATTGTTTCTTAAAACAAACAGATAAATCTGTTTAGCATCCAAATGTCTGGGTAATTGAGTTAGTTCACTTGGTTTGTATCCTGAGAAGTTGCAACCCTAGAAAAAATGGAAATGTTGTTTAACAAAATTTACTTCTCTTCTTAGTATAGTGGTTCATATGACTTTAGAAAACAGATAAATTATTATTATGCTATTTTTTGTTGATAGATTAAAAATTATGTATTTCCCCTAGGAAAAATTTCATATATTTTGTTTCTAAGAAATAAAAATAATTTGCATATTTGGGGGCCAAATTAAAATAGAATAATATTTTAGAATATATTTTGGCATATACTCAAAATATCAAGTATTTTAGATAGACCATACACAAAAAAGCAAGAACAGGGTAAAATAGAAAGTTTCCTAAGCATGCTCTCAATACTCTTTTGGAGCACACATTCATAGTTACACCTATATCTATAGTATTATAAGCATCCTTTTGGCCCTACATAATATACCTGATATATAATCTAGAAGTGTAGAAAATTGAAATACCTCTATATTCTTCTCTGTCTCCATTTCATCTGAAAGCTAGAAAAATGCAAAACAAATTATTTAAAACTCTAAATTAAAGGATTTTTTCATTAAAATCCTGACAAACCCCAAAATGTTTATATTTAAAATGATAATTAATAAAACTTTGGTTCACACAATCACTTATTAAATATCCAATATTAAATATGTGTGTGTATATATATGTATATATATATGTGCACATACATACATACATACATACACACATATAATAACTGATAATTTTAGGGCCCTAACATTGAGTGTCAAAAAATAAGTTCCTAGATCTTCAAGACAGAAATGCTGCTTAACAAAGACTAAAAGAACATTTTAAAAGTATTATCAGTTCTTATCTGTAGAATGGCAGCATTTACATTTCCTATGAAAACACATTTTTGAGTTTTGGTAAACACAAATATCATACCATTATCTTCCTCCGCCTACAGTGCTCCTTTAAAAATGCCTTGTATCTTTCCAGATTTGGATGTGAACCTTTAAGAAAAAGGAATTAACAACAATGAAAAAAAAAAACCAAGAAAATTGTAAACAATTTTTTAAAATTATACATAAAACTATTCAATGAAATCAGTTAAATTTCTACAAACCAAAACCAAAACCAAACAAACTAAAAACCTGTAGAGCACATACTTTCTGCAAAGTGGCAGGATACAAAAAAGAAGGTATACTGAAAAGGTTATAAAGGAGTCAGTCTTGTTCACCATACACACACATACACATATTGGACAGAGATAGAGGGAGAAGGAGAGAGAGAGGGAGGGGGAGAGGGAGAGGGAGGAAGGGAGGGAAGGAAGGAGGGAGAGGGAGGGAGAGGAAGGGAAGGAGGGAAAAGGAGAGGGAGGGAGGGAGGGAGGGAGGAAGAGGGAGAGGGAGGGAGAGGGAGAGGAAGAGGGAGGGAGATGGAGAGGGAGGGAGGGATAGGGAGGGAAGGAGGGAAGAAGAGAGAGAGAGAGAGAGAGAGAGAGAGAGAGAGAGAGAGAGAGAGAGAATATACCTGGGAAGATACCTAACTACCTAACCAAGGAAATGAAGGACCTCTACAACAAATCTTTATGATATCGAAGAAAGAAATTAAAGGGGATACCAGCAGATTGAAAGACCTCCCATGCTCATGAATCAAAATATTCAATGTTGGTCATCCTGCCAAAGAAATAGCAATGTATAGATTGAAATGCAATCACTAGCAAAATACCAAAATCCTCTCCTCACAGATAAAGAAAAAATAACTCCAAATTAGAGAACAAAAATCTCTGCCCCAGACAGGCACTAGACTTACAAGGTAAAAAGTTGCCCTCCTCAAACCCTGAAACATATCAAGAAACAAGCTAATTAAATGAACAGACAATTGTAAATGGCCAACACATGTTTTAAAAAGTGTTCAGCATCCTTAGTCATCAGGGAAATACAAACTGAAAATACTTTTATATTCTACTCACCCAAATAAGAATGATGAGCATCAAGAAATCTGACAATAAATGCTGGTGATGATGTAGAGAAAGGGGAATGAACCCTTGTTCATTGCTGGAGGAGGGGGGTAAACCAGTGCAGCCATATGGAAATTAGTATGGAAGTTTCTCAAAAAACATTACAAACAAAACTACCACATGACTCAACTATACAACTGCTGACATATACTCCAAAGACTACACATCCTACCACAGAGACACATGGTCAGCTATATTCATCACTGCTCTTTTCACAACAAAGAGATGGAACCAGCCTTGATATCCATAGATGAATGGAACCAGCCTAGATACCATCGAGTGAATGGATAGGAAAATGTTACATACACACACAATAAAATTTTATTCAGCTGTAAAAAAATAAAATTATGAAAACATTAGAAAGTTAATGGAATTGGGAGTATATTAAGTGACCCAAACCCAGATATATACCCTTTCATGTAATGTACATAATATACACACCCGGTAATGTACATACACACATACAAATGGGTGTGGTCAGCTCCAAAAAACTGGAGAGAAGAAAAGAAAGGATAAAAGCTAATGCTGACAGGATGAGGAGAAAGGAGACACAAATGACATTAAATTAGAAAGGGGACTTGGACGGAGGCCATAGTGACACAGGGATGAAGGGTAGAGAAGAGAAAAGGGGAGGTGAATTTACTAAAATATGCTTTGCCTGAAATTCCATAACGATATCTAATACACTGTATGCTGCTTTTTAAAAAATTTTTGAAGGATAAGACAACAGCTGCTATTATTACTTAAAAATTATCCTGGATGTATTGATCAATACAATTAGACAGGAAAAAGTTATACAAATACCAAGAATGAAAATAATCATTGCTTGAGGATAAAAATTAATCTCTTCTACACCAAATACTAAATACACTTAAAGGTTAACCTCAATCAACTACATGCATCAGCTCTCACTCCATTACTTTTTCCTTTACTATTTATGGAGGCTTGCTCCTTACAGTGTCAGCCATCCCAGCTTATTTCCCCAGGTCCCTGATGTCTTGCTACCTCCATTCCAGTTTAACAAAGTTAATAACTGTTCTAGGCTTGTTCCAGTAATTATTTCTTTCAAATCACATATTGAGGTCTACCTATAAACATTTATTAGGTCCTACTGGATGATGAGATTTTTAAATATTTGGTTTTAAGATATTTCATTTAATGAAATTTAATGAAATTTCATTCTTTATGAGAATATACATAGAGGCAGCATACACAGACAGACAGAAACACACACACACACACACACACACACACACCACACACACACACACACACACACACACACACACACACACCCTATGGACCATTACTTTATTCATATAAAAAATACACCTTACTTTTCTTGGAGATCATTCTGTTACATTCAAATAAATTAGAGGAATGCTTTTGTAAAAGAAGTGAACATTCTTTTAATCTTGACTCCATGGTGCTAACAGTTTCAAATATTCGAGGAACATTAGTCCATAGATAAGAATAAATTGAAGCAAATGAAGCATCCTCTTCCAGTTTTTTCAGAGCATCTTCCCATATATCACTATCTCTAAAACGAACATCCCTGGGCCAACAATCCTGCACAAACACACATTTAACAACATTTTGAATTAATTTAAATCAGAGTTCAATGAGTTAAAATTGAAATTTTACTCTACAGTATAATTTTTATTAAATGTTTTAAAAATAAATTTCCAAATAATTAAAAACCTCACAAAATGCTGGGTGGTGGTGGTGCACACCTTTAATCCCAGCACTCAGCAGGAGAGGCAGGTGGGTCTTTGTGAGTTGAAAGCCAGTGTGGTCTAAAGAGCAAGTTTTAGGACAGGTTTCAAAGCAATACAGAGAAACCCTGTCTCAAAAAACCAAACCAAAACAAACAAACAAGCAAAAACAAACAAACAAAACAAAACAAACAAAAACAAAAAACAAAACAAAAAACCCCAAACAAATAGAAAATATAACAATGGTCTTTCTGGGTAATGTTTATTTCATTATCATTTTTCTAGGTGTATACACATCATTGCATAGTTTTTTTTTATTTTATTATTTTATTTTATATAACAAAGTCCAATTAAATGAAAACAAACATTTATACACAATATTTGGGAATTTGGGCGTCGCTCTTTCCAAACTACTTCCTGCTGGTAAGGGGCGCCGTCATGGGGGATTCGAAGAAGATTCAGAAATCCTGGCTGCAGTCTGTAGGGCTGCTTTGTCCAGCTGTTTTGAATGTAGGATCACCTTGTACTCTGTTTCAGGTGGTCTGGCGTGATCAAACCACATTAGTCTGGAAGGAATCCACATCTTTTCATTTTCTGTGGAAACAAAAATAGAAATCCTTTTCCCCAGTAACTTGTCCTTCAACTTAAATTTTGGAGTCAAAGCATTTTTTTTTTTAAAATTTAATTTATTATTTTACATGTCGATCCCAGTTCCCTCTCCCTCCCTCCCTCCCCCCAGTCCTCACTCCCTCCTTCCCTCCCTTTTACTCTCTCTGCCCTCTCACATGCACTCTAACCACCCTCCCCTCCCATCCCCCCACCCCAATTCCATATGTAGGGGAATGCCATCCAGTTGGGGTCATGTAGATCTGACAGGTCATGTGAAGTAGGGACTAGGGCTTCTCTCCTGTCTCTAGATTAAGGCAATTATCCCTCCATGGGGGATATGTTCATTGCATATGTTTTTCATGGTTTGTGAATGTCTGAAAAAAAGTCATAAGGAATCATGCTATTAATAATCTACTTAAAAATCCCTACAATACATGTGGGTAAACATGTGTAGTTCAAATGAAATTTTCTCATTTGAGCTGACAAAGCTCCCTCCAAGAGCCAAAGGCCATCTTCTAAAACCCCCAAACCCCAACATCAGGTATGAGGAACATCTTTTGAGTTGTTGGCCAGGGCTGTCCAAGAGACTCTCAAAACATACAGCCTATTGCTATTGTTCTTGGTTGTCCTCCAGACGAAGAAGATAAGTCCTTATTGCTGAAGACAGCATACACTTCAGAAGCATGACCCAGAGGCCTCTGAGCTACAACTGACCTAAAAGCCTTCTCTCTGAGGAGTAGCTTTCATGGTACCAGAAGGAACCATGCACGCTTCCAAAGGAATGAGGTAACCAACAGACTTAACCAGCTATGATGCTATGAACCATAACAACCAACATGGCAAAATAACCATAAGGGTTCAGTAGTGGCACACATACTTTGGTGATATTCACCAGCTCTCTAATCCAATTTAAGACCTACCTAACAAGAAAGAAATCACACCTCGTACTGGAAACCTATCTATCCACACAGGGCTAGTAAAGTCATGGGTTTTGGATGAAAACATACATCTTCAACCATTATTAAACCAGAATAACCTCTAACTATATTCTAAATGTTACTCCTTGTACCCGCAAATAAGTGTAGTCCTCACTCATCAAGGAAACTTCTCTTTGCAACACATTACAGAAAATCACAGCCAATCAAAATATATAGTTGTTGATCCCATTCCCAATAAAGAGATCGCCAAAACAACTCTGTCACCTAAGGCTCAGGGAACAATGAAGAGCAAATGGAAAGATTGCAAGAACCAGACATCATGGAGTTTGTAGTGAGATTATGTCTCCTAAGAATGTCAGAATATTTTCTCAGCCTAGACACATTCTGGAGGGGCCATGCGCATATGAGTGTGCTCTTTGTGATTTTTAAATTCTGGTTTGTTTTTGTTTGTCTGCTTGTTCACTTTCTAAAGAGAAAAAATTATGGAGTTGGGTGGATGGGGAGATGGGAAGAACTTGTAGGAGTGGGAGAAAGTGAGAACCCTGATCAGAATATTGTTTATGAAAAAACTGCTTACAGTGGGAAAAAAGGAAAAAAGGAAATAAACTTTTGGAAACCGGTTTTAGTTATTTTATTTTAATTCCTTCTCAAAGCACTGGAACAGAAGCACTCATTTACACACATACACACACACGACATTTCATTGCCAAAAATTTCATAGCAAATTCTGTTCATGTTTTACATAAGTGGAAATAATAATTATTTCTTAAATTTCAACATACCTCATTAAAAAGTTACTGATCTTACAAACTAACATCTTTATTCCAACCTTTAGCTGATACACCTCAAAATATAATAAACCCTAGCTTCATATTTGCAAATGAGTGAACTCATTGACTGTCAGAGAAAACTCCTTAGAAATCTCAGGAGCTACAGGAAAACTCATTAATTGCACATGGCAATATGTAAAAATATTTTGAACATTTCACTTTGATTCAGTAATCAAGGAATATTGATGTACATTTTCTACAAACTATCTGTGAGTTGTGCTGAGTGGCTAAATAAGGGTAACTGTCAGATTTTCTTGAAGGTATAAATACATAAGACAAAAGTCATAGGAAAGTACACAGAATTGTATGTATAGGGTGAACAGTTTTTAAATGTGAAAACATTATTGTTAAAAGCAACTGGAAATGACATACAGTCCACTGAAATGAACACAAATATTTGAAACAATTTCCATTATTTAATTTTCATTTTTTTTCTCTCCATATCTGATTTTTTAAAAGGTGTGTTGGTAGAGGAATGAGGACAGGATGCTGTACTCACCCAGTTTTGAGCCTTTAAGAATTCTTCAAAGTTCTTTGGAGGCTCTTGGGCTCTCTAGTGAAGCAAAATCAGTCAGTGGCATTAATTATAATTGTACTTAACACACACAACCAACTTAAGCAGATGTAATACTTAAGTTAGAATTTTTAGAGTTGTAAGGTATTATAAAACATTCATTTGTGTACTTTGCAAAGTCTGGGCATTTTGTAAAGAGACGGAGATACGTGTTTAAATACTGACTCTACAAGAAACCCCATCTTCAAACTTGCCGAATGCTCTCATTTCAAATTCCAACAAGAGTTCCAAGATATTTTGAGTTATTGTGGACTGTATCCATAATAAACCCAGAGCCAGAAATGTAATAAATATTCCTCTGTTGACAAGAAAGCTACAGGAAATTGTGCGTATACTTGGAGGCTTCTGGCTAACAATGTATAATCCCATTTAGTAGTTTCTCTGTGCATCAAAAATGTACTCAACAACAGACTAATTTCATCAAGATGAAACGTGAGTACATGTCTTAGAGACTATCTTACATTCCTCCTTCTGCTTAGATATTTCCCCATCTAAAACTCTCTCTTTCCAAGTTTTTCTAGGCCTATATAGCTTTCAAATAAAATAATATCATATTTTACTTAACAGGAAATAGAAAAATGAATTGAAGGAGTTAAATCTGCATAGGAAACTTATAGTCAACTCCAGTATGAAATAAATTTGCTCTCTGAAATAAAATGAAAGGGAGGTAAGGAATGAGAACTTAAATGAACACCTATTTTCATAGAAGTAGAGTGTTGTTCTGTGGAAATAATAAGGAAAAAAACAGGTCATATAAAAAGCATTCTTTTCTAGGTGTTGATGAAAGTCAGACGATACTGATAACCATGATGAGTCAAGGTTATAACATTTTATTCCAAACTTACCAAAGCAGTAGGCTACATGCAGGACTCTTCTTAGCACCAATTCAACAGCAGGGCAAGCTCTTGAGGCCAGCCCTGCTGATGACCTGAAATCTAGACAAAACATACTCGCTATAAATAAGCACAGATCTACACCAGTTCCTTACCTGAGGTGCAGGCTTTTGCATCCACTGACCCTTTACTTGGCCTGCCATGGTGAATAAACATGGAGATGACGAGAGATCAGTATGAGGTCAGGGAACAAGCTGGAAAGACACCCAAATACAAAAGCAGGTGACTTAAACAACCCCTCTGTATCACTTTCAAGCCTGGTTTATGAATGCTGTTAACAGTCACATCAGAGCAAGAACACAATCCATGCACAAGGAAAGCTGCACAGACTGATACATTCTTACAGTTATAAATTTCAGAGCCTGAGAAGAATTGGAAAAAAAAAAAAAGCGTCACTCCAAACTCTCCTAGCTCAAATATCAAGAAAGTATAAGAAGTAATTAGAAGAAATTGGAGATATAGTTAATGCCAAATAAACTCAGCCCAATTAAAGGTAGAGTTAAACCTTAAATTTCAACTCAAAGAAGATTGTAGACCAGCTTTTCACTCTGAGTTCTGGGATATCTCTTTAAAAGCCAAATAAAGAAACATGCCTGTGCTCTCCAAAACTAAAAGCAATTAAATCTCAGCTGCTTTCCACAATGATTGACAGGTAATGTTCAACAGTAAAGCGATACAGAACAATCAAAGGAGGAAAAATGAGATCCACAATCTAGGGAAAATATTGTCAATGTAAGGTACCTAGGAAAACACTTACTGCAATAAGCAGACAAGGACTTAAACTACAGATATTGAAGATTTTGTAATGTAGATTGAATAACAGTGCATGAAGAAGATGGTGGGTGGCTGTAAATCCCAACTACTCAGCAGGCTGAAGCATGAGAGTTCCAAGTTTGAGGGAGGGCTTTATAGGCAGTTTAATAGTACCCTGACTCAAAACAGAAAGGGGCAGCCTCTGCTCAGGACTGGATTTAATTTCTGTTTCTTAGATTCGGCTCTCTACACGAGGCTCTCCAGATTAAACAAGAGGGATTAGAACTCTTCTCAATAATTCAGGCCTACTCATGGTTAAATGATAGAGAGTTAAGTCTTTCTTATTTAATGCAGCATGGTCACACTAATTCCTATCATACTGAATAAGACTTTCCTCATACAGATTTCATGTAACTGTTGTAAACAAAACAAACAGCCCCAGACTTCTGAACTTCACATTATAGCTATTAGAGGCATCCATGCTGTCTCATCTAATGGAAGTCCATGATTCTATTGTGATCTGCATAATATAATCAAAGTTTGTTTACCTGTTTTACTTTTAGGGGCCCAAGTCCCTTCCTACTTGTGTTACTCCTTAACATGAACATTCATTGTTTATATATTTTGCTTTTACAACCCTAACCCAGCCTCCCCCCACTGCCGTTCTCCCCATCTGTCCCAATCCAGTCCTTCTGTTTCTCTTCAGAAAAAGGGCAGCCCCCCCAAGGATATCAACCAGCTATATTATATCAAGTCATAGTAACACTAGGCACCTCCTCTCCTATTAAGGCTGGGCGAGGCAACACAGTGGGAGGAAAGGGCCTCAAAGGCTGGCAGAGTCAGAGACAGCCCCTATTCCCACTGTTAGGAGTCCCACAAGAAGACCAAGCTACACAACTGTAACATATATGCAGAGGGCCTTAGTCAGTCTCATGCAGGCATCCTGCTTGTTGCTTTAGTCTCTGTGAGTCCCTATAATCCCAGGTTGGTTGATTCTGTGGACCTTGTTCATGTGGTGTCCTTGACTCCTATGATTCCTACAATTCTTCCTCCCCCTCTTCCATAGGATTCACAGAGCTCTGACTAATGTTCGGCTGTGGGTCTCTGCATCTGTTTCCATCAGTTGCTGGCTGAAGTCTCTCTGATGATGATTGGGTTAGACAACAGTCTGTGAGTATAGCAGAATATTGGGAATCATTTCATTGACTTTTTTCCAGTTATTTTTGTTCTAATCTAGATCTCTTGGCTAGCCTGACTCTGGGTCCTGGAATTCCACACATTGTCAAGGGTGACTTTCCTCTCATGGTATAGATCTTAAACTGGACCAGTCATTGGTTGGCCACAACTTCTACACTATCTTTACCCCGGCACGTTTTGTAGCCAGGACAAATTGTAGCCAGGTTTTAAATCTGGGTTGGTATTCCAATTCCACCACTGAAGTATTGTCTGGTTATAGGAGATGTCTAGTGCAGGCTCTGTATCCCCCATTGCTAGGAGTCTTAGCTAGGGTCACCCTCATAGATTCCTGGGAATTTTCATTGCACTGGGTGTTTAGCTTGTCTCTGAAGTGTCCAGAAATTCCAGTTGTCTCTCCCATTTCTCTCTTCCCCTATTTTCCCCCCACCTGACCCCTCCTGTTCCCATCCCCATCCAACATCCAATGACAATGTCTATTCTAATTTACCTTCACAGTAAGATTTATGCATTATCCCCTTGAGCCCTCCTTGATACTTAGCTTCTTTGGGTCTGTGGAGTGTAGCATGGTTATCCTTTAGTTTATACAGCTAATATCCACTTATAAGTGAATAATTCCCATATTTGTCTTTCTGGGCCTGGATTACCTGACTCAGGATGATCTTTTCTGGTTCCATCCTTTCGCCAGCAAATTTTATTGATGTCATCTTTTTTAACAGATAAGAAATATTTCATTGTGTGAATTACTATTTTCTTTATCCATTCCTCTGTTGAGGGACATCTAGGTTGTTTCTAGTTTCTGGCTATTATGAATAAAGCTGCTATGAACATAGTTAAGTAAGTTTCCTAGTGTTATGATGGATCATTCTTTGGGTATAGGCTTAGGAATGGTATAGTTGGATCTTGAGGTAAATGGATTCCCAATTTTCTGAGAAACCACCCCATTGATTTCCAAAGTGGCCGTATGAGTTTGCACTCCCACAAGCAGCAGAAGAGTGTTCTCCTTGTTCCATATCATTGCCAGTATGAGCAGTCACTTGTGCTTTTGATCTTTGCCATTCTGAAAGGTGTAAGTTGGAATCTCAGAGCTGCTTTGATTTGCATTTATCTGATGGCTAAGGATGTTTAACATTTCTTTATGTAATTGTCAGCCATTTCAGATTCCTCTGTTGAGAATTCTCTGTTTAGATCAGTACCCAGTTTTTAATTTGACTATTTGGTTTGTTGGTGTCTAGTTTCTTGGGTTCTTTATATATTTTAGATATCACCTCTCTGTCAGATGTGAGGTTGGTGAGGATTTCTTCCCATTCTGTAAGTTTCCATATTGTCTTTTTTTGAGGGGGAGGGGGATTAGGAAAAATATAATTTTTGTCAGGTGATAAAATTGAAAATCTACTAAAATTTTTTATTTTCTTGAGGACAATTAAGGTAGGGTTTTTAAATTATTTTTTAAACTTAAATTAGAAACAATCTTATTTTACATATTAATCCCAGTTCCCTCTCACTCCAATCCTCCCATCCTCCTCAGCTACAGTTTGGCATCCAAAACCCTTTCTGTTCCACAGGGTGGGTGACACCTTCCATGGGGGATCATCAAAGTCTATCACATCATTTGGAGCAGAGCCTAGGCCCTCCCCCATGTGTCTAGGCTGAGAAAATATCCCATTATGGGGAGTGGGCTCCAAAAGTCCATTCGTACACTAGAGATAAATACTGATCCACTACCATAGGCTTCATAGATTTAACAGGCCTAACTGACAACCACATTCATGGGGCCTGGTTTTATCCTATGCTGGTTTCCCAGCTGCCAGTCTGGGGCCCATGAGCTCCCCCTTGTTCAAGTCAGCTGTTTTGTGGGTTTCCCCAGCCTTGTCTTGACCCCTTTGATCATCATTCCTCCTTCTCTGCAACTGGATTCCAGGAGTTTGGCTCAGTGCTTAGCTATGGTTGCCTACTTCTGCTTCCATCAGCTACTAGTTGAAGGCTCTAGGATGTCCTCAATCTCATTATCTGGGAAGGGCATTTAAGGTAGCCTCTCCATGATTGCTTAGATTTTTAGTTGGGGTCATCCTTATAGGTCTCTGGACATTTCCCGAGTGCCTGATTTCTCTTTAAACCTATAATAGCTCCCTCTATTAAGGTATCTCTTTTCTTCCTCTCTTCTATTCTTCTCCTGACTCAAATTCCTGCTCCCTCATGTCCTTCTCTCCCCCCCTCTTCTCCTCATCTATTCCTCCTAACTCACTCTCCCCTCCCCCACAATCCCAATTTGCTCAGGAGATCTTGTCCTTTTCCATTTCTCCAGAGGACCACATGTGTCTCTCTTAGTGTCCTCCTTGTTTCCTAGCTTCTCTAGCAGCAGATTATAGGCTGGTAATCCTTTGCTCTATGTCCAATATCCATATATGAGTGAGTACATACCATGTTTGTCTTTTTATGAATGGGTTACTTCACTCAGGATGGTTTCTTCTAGTTCTATCCAATTCCCTGCAAATTACAGGATTCCATTTTCTTTTTCTGCTGAGTAGTACTTCATTGTGTAAATGTATCCTGTTTTCTTTATCCATTCTTCATCCGTGGGGCATCTAGGTTGCTTTCAGGTCCTGACTATTACAAATAATGCTGCTATGCACATAGTTGAAAAGATATCCTTGTTGTATGAATGTGCAACCTTTGTGTATATGCTTAAGAATGGAATTGCTGAATCTTGAGATAGACTGTTTCTCATTTTCCTGAGGAACTGCCATACTGATTTCCAAAGTGGGTATACAAGTTTGCACTTCCACCAACAGTGGAGGAGTGTTCCCCTTTCTCCACATTCTCTCTAGCATGAACTGTCTCTGATGTTTTTGATTTTAGCCATTCTGATAGGAGTAAGATGGTATCTCAGAGTTCTTTTGATTTGCACTTCCCTAGTGGCTAAGGATGTTGGGCACTTTCTTGAGTGTCTTTCAGCTATTTTAGATTCCTATATCGAGAATTCTCTATTTAGTTCTGTACACCACTTTTTAATTGGATTATTTGGTATTTTGAGTTTCTCCCCATTTAGTTTGATGTTGGCTGTTGGTTTGCTGTATATTGCTTTTATTATGTTTAGGTATGTTCCTGTTATTCTAATCTCTCCAAGACTTTTATCATGAAGAGGTGTTGGATTTTGTCAAAGGCTTTT